ACCCGCGAAATCGAGGAAACGAGTTTTTGGTTTTCCATCGTGATAATTCCCAGCTACGTGTAACACCACAAAACGTGCGAAAAAAAAGAATTACTGTGAATTTCTGTGTCTCAGATTATTATATTATATTTCGATCGTTGCAACAGATTTAATTGGCAAAAAAAAAAAAAAAGAAGAAAAGACCTGGAAAAACCAAAAAGAAATTTTGCAGCGACGGTGTCGTGTCCTTGCTGAAAACATGGGTGATTGCATACCATCATTACAACAAGTGTACGTCAAATTTCAGCAGGAATAATTTACGGACATGCAGCAGCGCGATACAAAACTCCATTCGCGGCGAAAGGAAAGAAGCTACTAGACCAAGTTACTGGCGATCGATAGGCGGCGCGGTGGCTCGAGAGATACGAGGCTTTGAGCGTGGTTACGCGTGACACACACACACACACACACACACACACACACACACACACACACACACACACACACACACACACACACACACACACACACACACACACACACACACACACAAACACAAACCATGCGCCGAGACGAATCCGAGGCTGGTCGAAGCGAACGAAGCGAGTGCGAACGCGCGAGTCGAGTCAAACGGCAGCGACGCTTCGGACGGTTGGTCTGAAAGAGGGACGCGGCGGCGAGGGAACCGGGGACGGAGAGGAAATGGGAGAATAGGGATGAAAATGGGGAACGGCGATGAGGGGTCGAGGCTGAGCGGCGTATCCAGGCCGGCACGGGCGAAGGGGCGAGGGGCCGGGAGGGTGGGTGGGAGGGAGGCGGTAATCGGCAGCAAGTGAATTGGAACAAATGCAGACAGACGTGAGGTGGGCCGCTGGCTCGCTTGATACCGCAACCAAGAAATATAGTATAAACCGAGCGCTGGTATTAATTGAGTTTCGCCCCTTCCGTCCCTTGTAACCTGGCCGCCCCCCTCCCCCTTTCCTCCTAGCCACCCCCTTCCCCATCTTCCTCGTCTATTTTGTCCGTCTTCAAGACGAATCGATGAAACGTTCGAAGGGGGAGGGGAAGTCGCAGTGGCAAGTCGAGGATCGCGCGGCAAACACGAGGTCGCAAACGGACCTGAGAATCCTTCTTACGTTTTCTTCACGTTCTCTCGCACGTTCGCACGCACGTAACGTAGGGGGTTTGATCAATTTTCCACCGTACGTGCGTCACCAATTGTCGAAGAAACAACTGACAAAAGAGTAATCTCCATTATTATGTGGGGAAATGGAAAACAAAATTTTAAACGCACGTGGTTTGTAATAAATATTTAAGTAATTGAGGAAAACTGAACGACAGACGACAAAGAGATATTAAGTTCTCTCTGCAAGTCTCTCAACGACCTGCATGCTGTCACGACTACTCGCTATTTCCTGCCGAAAATCGTACCCTTAACCANCTTGCGCTGGCAACTGATTGCGGACCATAACGAGTGACCAAACCGTATACAATAATTCGTCGCTTTCTTTTTGAACTCGTCGGTATGATATCACTGGACAGAAATTATTGAGAAGTAATGAATTTATTATTTGTTTTGCCTATAATTCAATATACTGTGAAAATATTGCAATTTTGGGACAAAAAATTTTCGACGTGCGTGGCACGTCATTCCAGCGGAGAAAGTTGAAACTTATGTCTTTGTACGCACTTCACACACATACGTGCAAAACCGTATCCTCATATTTCACAATTTCTTAACACTTTCCTGGCGGAATATTTGAAATGGCAGTCACGTGTAAAGAATTATTTATAATTTTTTTAATGTACTGTAGTAGTGTCATAATTTTATTAATGTACCATGATAGTTGAATCCCGATCGAAACGACTGACTTCCGACTCTCGTTTGAACTACTTGAAAGATACGGCTGTTCTTGTCAAAGTTAATATTAATTTCTGTTTGAACAAAAGCACGATTGCATAAAATCAATAATCGTTTAAATTACAGTGATTTATACGTAGAATATTTTCATACAGTTTGTTCTAGTGTCAACAAACGTTTTCATTCATTTGTTTATATTAATATTTTTGGACAATGAAAATCAAGTGATGCCCCGCCGTGAAAGTGTTAAGGTTAGGGTGACTAGATAAACAGATTTGTTTTCGCTGCGACAATCGCATCGAGCACGTAGCAGGCAATAGTTGCCTCGCTCTTAGGCCACACAGGAAGAAATTCCGAATAACGAGAATTCCTCACTCCACGTTATTATGTATGTGTAAATCTAACCTAAACCTGCATCGAGATCATCCTTCCGTCAAAATATGTACATCGTACTGCCCCCCCCCCCCCCCCCCCCCTCCCCCTCGTTGAACCAGCGAGTTTAAATATACCTACGTAGAAGCACGCAGAGAGAAGTAGTTTATCCAAGATTTGTTGAAACGCGAGGATTACGACGCGTTTGTAGCGCACGGGGCGAAGATTATACGACACGGCAGCGGGGTCGTATGCTGGGTACGAATTTGTAGATTTAATCGGGATAACCGGCCGTATCCGAGGTCAAATAACGGCCGTACAACCGGAACGCGCGATATTAAACTATTATTTGCGTAAGTAGTAATCCAAATAAGCCGTCAATGATAATGCAGTTATGTGGCGCGTGATATTTATACGGCGTACCGCGAACGAGTCCCGTAATCGATACACGAGATACGCGAACGAAGGCAGTGGCATACACACGATTTTCGTATTACGTTTGATTTATCATAGTTGTAGCATCAATGTCAGTCCAAATAATCAACCTGTTAGTTCTCTCGAGAAATGGCCAAAAAGTTTCTTAATCGTTTAACATTACGTCCTAACAGCGACTTTATGGTTCTGGAAGTTTCTAACTAACATTTGATTCATCATAGTTGTGGCATCTGTGTGAGTTTAAATAATCAAATGATAAAACCAACTGTTTACATTATTCGAAATATAAATATTACGTAATATGGACGTCCACGCGTCCGTAAAGTGGAACCATAAAGTCGCTGTTAGCACACACGCGTCCGCAGTGTTGAATGACCTCTAAAGCGTTTATGTCGAGTATACTCGTCATGTAGAAGATAAATTCGCTTTTGCTATTTATTGTAAAATTTAAGTAAAGAATTATACATATTTGTAGTTCAAGACAACAAAACGAAAAAAAAAAAAAAATAAAATAAAATAAAACCAATGAAATTAAAAACTTTTCAAAGAAACGCCAGAAAGATTGATCATTTCATTATAATTTAACTCAATCTTACAGCAAGTGCATTCACTGTGCTTTTGTCGAGTATACTCGTCATAGTCTAGAAATAATCAAGCACACCACTGCATATTCTCAAAATAAAACGAAACTTACGTTCAAGAGGTAAAGAAACTTTTCTGCCATTTTTCAAAAGAACTATCCTTGGATAAGACAAGAGATAGATAATTATAATTGTAGATATATAGATAATTATAATTGTAATTGTAGATATAGATATTATCTATATTCGTCTACATTATAGATTACAAATAATTATAATTCTGGATATAGATATCATCTATATTCGTCTATATTATAGATTATAGATAATTATATGACAATTATAGATAATATAAGATCCTTGGAAAAGTTTTACCTTTGTAATGAATATAATACGATGCAAGAAATTTTTGTTATTCCTTAATACTCAAGGTCAAGCTCAATTTCGCGCATTTCCGTCAGATCGAAGGTGTAGAACTCATCCGTGATAGCCACGGGCGAACTTTTCTTTCTACCTTGTACATCGCGGAGAGCGACTTCAGCACGTGGAGATGCATTTAATTGAGACACAACCGACGTGCGTGTATTAACCAAAATGGAAAGATTGGCGAACGGTAACCGGGCGGCGTCGCATTTTTGAGGCTTTGTTTACTGGAACACGGCGCGACGCTACGAGCGGGCCACGTTCGCCAATCTGGGATTTCGCCCGGCGAACTTAATATCCGGCCGCCCTCGTAGACGACGCGAGGAAGTAAAACTAATTTCGTAAATCCTTTAATCTACGCGTTTGCCAGCGAGTCGAAGCAAGATTATGGAAGCGGCAGGGGATGGTAGAAGAGGTGGAGAAAAGCGGAAGAGGAGTGGAGGCTGAACCGAATGGTCGAGAGCGTGGTCTGCGCCTGTTTGATGGAATATGATGAACGAGCCACCCTGAACTTTATTATTGGCAGCGGCAGATCGAGTCGAAAGAAAGAAAGAAAAAAAAAAAAAAGGAAAGAAGAAAAAAAAACAGAAAAAGTTGCCGTCAGTCAGCTAGCCAACCAACCAGCCAGCCAGCGTGTATCGTTAAGCCGCGTCCAGAACGAAGCTCTCCCTTCGCTTCGACAGGCCATTACTCGATGATCGCGCCTGTTCGCGCGGCTATTTCCTCAGCTCCGTTCGTCTCGCGCGGCCGATTTAATTGTTGCAATTGAAAGTTCATAGGTTGCTCATTAAAGCTCGCTCGTTAAAGTTCGTTTGAATCCGGTCGGAAGACTGGCCGAGCCGAAGGGTCATCCAATCAGGGCTACGCCTTAGAAGTCGAGTCGTTACGTTAATTTCTTTTGTCTAGGAGGCGGGCCGGCTCGATGAATCGCGAACGGTCGCTTCCGCTTAATGAAGACGACGGTTCTGTAATTCTCGTTGCGAGATCCACCTTTTGCCCACCTTGTTTAGAATTTTGTTCGAATCAAAGGGGCAACATCCTCGTTTTACTCTGATTTGCTCTAAATTGAGGAAGAAAGGGTCGCCGGAGGGGACTGATACTTGCGTCCTCCTCTCGCAACGTGAGTTTCCATTGCGGAAACTATCGAAAAGAAACTCCCACGGCAGTTTTCCTCGCTCGAGAGACGAGCAGTTGGACGGTCGCGATTATCGACGCGATACTTTTCTTGTCTACGTCGAAACGCGAAACTTCTTTTCCCTCGCCAACTGGCAGGGTGGGAGGGGGGAGGGGGGTATTGGCACGGGGCTTTCGATCAAGGAGCATTAAACATCAATTACATCATCACTCACTTCCGTATTGTTGCGCCAAGAGGGAAGCGAAGACCTGGCCCGGGCTGCGAGCGCCTCGACCGGCGGATGAAACGGACGCGGGACCGACCGCGTGACGGGAGTTCTCCTCGTCGTCGCTGCTCGACTGGGCACTGGGTCCATAACCGCGCCTCTCTCGCCATTCCAGGGACCGTTGACGGCGCAGCCCACGGCCCCCGTTCCCGTGACCGCGGCCCAGCGTGCCCTCGCCGTCCATCACTGCAGCATCTGCCAACATATGGATACACATCAGCGAAATTTGCGTTTGCGTGCGAACTTGGGTGATATACTCATCTCGCTTAGGGAATTTGCTGCGAAAATACGCAGTCCTTTAAAGAATGATACGAAAGAAGCGTCAATATATTGTTAACGAGACTTGTTATAGGTTGCAATATTTTGAAATTAGGTAATTATTTGCTGATGGACAAAGGAGAGGTCAGGACTTCTTGTGAAGAAATTTATTGCCTAAAGAAATTATCTAAATAAGTAAATAAAAAATATCTAAATATCTAAATAAATAAGTAACAAATATCTAAATATTTAAATAAATCAGTAACAAATATCTATATATCTAAATAAATAAATAAATAATAAATAATAAATAATAAATAATAAATATCTAAATATCTAAATAAACAAATAATAAATATCTAAATATCTAAATAAATAAATAATAAATATCTAAATATCTAAATAAATAAATAATAAATATCTAAATATCTAAATAAATAAATACTTAAATAAATATTTAAATATCTAAATAAATAACAAAATATTTAACATACGTAAGTGATTGATTATATAAGTTGAGAAATGATTCTTAAATGGCAGTCTTAAACGGGAGGAAAAGGAAATGATTGCGCGCAAGGGAGAAGCAGATGACGCGTATAACGTCTGTCGTATTGGCGGTGACGATTCGGAACCGAGATTTCATAGTCCAAAGAGCAGCGAGTGACCCTCAAGGCGGTCGACTGAACCAGCTGGATCGTACCCCGGAGCATCAATCAGCTGTCTCCGTAATCAACGGAGAGCTACTCGCTGCGAGGACGTCTCCATGGGAATTTCGAGAGGTATCCACCACTCAATTATCCGTTCCCGTACACATTCAAGTTGCTATCGATCCTGGGAGAGATCCCATTCCCCTCCCCCCCCTCCCCCTCTCCCTCGTGCTGATGAGATAACCCGAGTAATTAAATATTCTGGACAGGGATTCGAGACGATTCCTTTTTTCTTTTTTTTTTTTTTTTTACCAAGCATCTCGAGAAATATTTCAGTTACTTTAATCGTACATCGAGTTTACATTAAGTATGACAAAAACAACAATTTTTATATATAGAATCTTAAAGTTTGAGATTGCTATGAGAATTAATGTATTCTGTGTGTAGTTATCACTTTAAACTTACGCCTCGGAACAAACTCGGTAATTACCACTTTGGTAACGATAGGCTGGCCGATGTCGAGTACAAGAGGGGGGAAAAAAAAAAGAAAACAAAAAATGTTGGCGAAACAACGTATATCGGAGGTTTTTACACGGGCTAGGAACCATCGGCAGCCACGTTCGTTTCAATTTCAAACGCTCCGGGTCAACATCTCTATGGAAGAGCAAATAAATATTCAGGTTCCGGGGGAAACGTTGAAAACCACTTGAACCACGTCGATTTCAGCGGCGCCGCGCCGGGAGGATGGGCAGGAACGAGAGGCAGCGGTGCGAGAACGAGCTGGCCTCGAAATTAAGAGCAACTAAAAATTCCTGTTAGTTGAAAGTTTATTAAAAAAAAAAAAAAAAAAAGAAAAAACCAGAATAAAAATGCGTGAATGTGATACTCGTACGTTGACTCCTAACCTAACCTTTCGCGTACGCGTCTCGACAACAAAATATTATAGGTTATATACGACGGTGAAGTAACTTTAAATTGCTTTTCACGGAATATCTACAAAATATTCGTTATTAATATTCATTGTAGTGCCGCGCAGCGCGATCATATATAAAAATCTGTTCAGATTTCGTGTCGAATAGTGTCATAGCGTTTGGTCGCGATGTACAATGTTCTCGGTTTCAATTATAACCTGTTGGAGTCATATCGTCGTCAATTATATTCCTTCTCTCTTAATTACTTTCTTTTTGATCAAACTCAAACCGCGTGCGTAAATAGGCAATTTTTATTTTATTTCTACTTTTATTTCTACTTTATCAATATTTTTTGCTATCGCGCTAGTAACATAGTTCTTTGAATGACACTAAAACGGTTATGGTGCGACGAAACTTGTTTCAATACATGACTCGGGATTAAGTAATTTAAAAACAAGAACAACATGTTTTGTCACGGCACGTAAAAGGTGTATTGTTGGTGGCGCGGCGCATATGAATCAAGTAGTAGTGTCAACCGCTAATCAGACGGCGGAGCAAGCGTAAGTAGAATTAACTGTTAACCAGACAATCGACGCTGTGTACGCGTCAGTGGTAGATATTAATGGCAAGTTAGACGACTGATGTGCCGTATATGTCGGTAGAATTAACAATTAGTCAGTCAGAATTGATACAGCGTATATGTATACGTGTCAGTAGAATTGATCGTTATTCAGACAATCTACGTATGGTTCGAAAAAGTACTGGCGCGTTTGCTAGAGGCACGTCTCCTAGCAACATTTTTATGGAAACAAATGATGCATTAACGAAATCTGTTTCCACAAATAGTTTACCAAAATACATACAAAGGTAATTTTCAATAACGAGTTGCACAATAATAACACAAGTCGTATAAAAATTCGAAACACGCGAGGCGTTTTTTTTTTGCATTTGAACAGAATATGAAATATTTTCGATGGTTTAAAGACGAGCGATATCATTCGATATTTACTACAGAATATTTTGTAATTTTTCTAATAACATTCTAATGTTAAATGTGTAGTAAAATATTTCATTGATCCTCGAATTCACATATTTTTTATTTTATCGTCGTATGCAGTTAATTATTGGGCTATGTATAGAAACGGATTTGTGTTCGCAAAGATATTGCCAAAAAACCAATATTTTTTAAACCCGCTGTATACATTCTGCGTAAGTGGAATTAACCATTAACCGGACTAAAGACAGTATATGCAACGCAGTTTGTCATTTTCGTCGCAGAAATACGAGATTATCATCCACGGAAGGGGACTAAATTGATTTATAAAGCGACGTGGATTCTCGTGAACACGGTGAAAAATTAGCCGAAACAAATTTCAATGGTGGAAACAAGCGGTCCTCTGGAAACCCGTCCTTATGCATCGTCGGCCACCTCTAACAGCCACTTTTCTCACTTGCCTGAATGCCGGGCTAACAGGTCGCATCCTCTACAGACGAGAGGGTGCTTTACGATGTTTTGTTTCACCTACCCTTCAGACTACTCCTTCTTTGCTCGCGTGCAAGCATGCCCGCAACGTGTGGCGGACTTGTCAAACCGTAAGTGAATCGGAAATCTCGGCGTCGAATTAACGAGCTCCCGCCAGAAACGCACGCACGTCGCCCCCCTCCATGGCGGATCGCGTAAAAAATTTCCTCCCACCGCCACTCGAAACTCCCTTTGGATCAAGTTTAATCGTTGCTGTAACGTTTTCGATTCCGATGGACGATACGAATACACAAAATGATCTCGAATGTTATATCCGAGGCATTACTGATCTACTTCTTGACTTTCAATAGATTTGCAAATCTATTCAAAAGAAAAAAAAAGACTAAGCGCTTTGGTTTTAATAAAGGTTTTGATTTCTAGTGAAAATAGTATTGAAATTGTTTTAAAATTCGTATTTTCTTCTATTGAGAGAAAGAGAGAGGGAGAGAGAGAGAGAGAGCGACAAAAACGGGGAAATTTCAAAAATCCATTAGAAATCGGTCAAATTTGCCCATCCGCTCGTTACAACGGGGAAATGAAGAGCTGAAAATTGTTACATGAGCAAATGGCACTTACTCGGTATTTGGAGAGATTTTCGAATTGTCGAGAAACGCGACAATTCTGCACGATGCGACGAAATAAAGTGGTTTATGGCGTTTCGTTTACGATCGGTACTCTCTCTCTCTCTCTCTCTCTCTCCCTCTCTTTCTCTTTCGCTGTTCGTTTCGCCATTTAAGAATAGCATTGGCCCTTTTAATAGAACACTTTCATAAGGAGCCATAAACGGGGACTACTCAACCGTGGGGCACTCTTATTGCTATAACTTATAACACGTGGCATTAACGGCCGATAATACGACAGTCTCGTACAATATAAAAAGTTTTACGCTGGGATCCTGTCGCGAAGTTGCCGACTACAGCCACCGGAGCGTATTCTCTCACGATGTAAAACGTTAGGCTTTTGTATATAAAGAAAAAGAGGACCATCCGTTCTTTTATGAAACCCGTGGCCGCTTTAACTACTCTTGCCATTCTTAGGTGGAATATTTTCCAGGATGAGGCCACCTCGTAAGAAGCATCTATTTGATAGATGTTGCTTTTACGTTCTTGCCTCTTTCCTCCACGCGCGGCAGCGGAACTATTAGGTTGGACAATAAGTACGGTTTTTCCCCGACAGTTGGTGGTAGGCGTTGTAAAGCGTAAATGTAATTTCAGTTCAATCCTGGACAAAGGACATAAATTCGTTAAAGTGTTAATTTAACAATGGAGAATCGAAACGAATATTTTCGACGTACATTGTTGTTTTATTTTAAAAAAAGGAAAAATGGCGACGTTAGCGCGTGAAGAGATTTTCGACGTACGAAGGTGAAGATACTTTATCGGAACGTACGTGCCAAATACGGTTTGCTGAATTTCGTTCTGGCGATTTCAACGTTGAACATACACCAGCGGAGATCGAGGAAACTTTTTTGAATTCCGAAAGGCAGCTACAAAGGGTAATGGATCAAAATGATCGATACGTTGTCGAATAATGTTGTTGTTTAACATGAAACAGTTTTGTACTGTCATTTACTCAGACTTATCGGCCAAGCCAATATTTTCGAAACCAACAAGAAGAAGAAAGTCGCAGGACAATGAAAAAGAAACCTATCCGAAAATACAAGATTTCCGAGTCGAGTGTATCGCGTTATGGGTTTTCGGTACCTCCTCGAAATTTACAGTCTCGCCCCGTTGCATCTAGAGCCTATAGACAATGCATGTGCGCGACGTTATAAGAGCGACGCGAGAAAGTATCGGGAAAGTCGCGCGATTCCGGCTGGACCGTCGTCACGGAGACAACGCGGGACAACTTCCTGGC